GCATAAATGGAGTCTACAAGGGCATTAGGGCAATGCCTGTATCTGTCCTAGTGGAGATGACATATTGGAAGGTAAACGAGTGGTTTGTGAAGAGACGGGATGCTGCTATAGGGAGGGAGCGTGCTGGTCATTCAATAGCTAAGCATATATTTGATGGCATGCAGAAGATCGAAGAGAAATCAAGTAAGCACAGAGTTGTCCTGTTCAACCGCAATGAAGGTATTTTTGCTGTGCAAACAGGTATCTGGGGTGGAGGAAGACGTGGGCATAATCGTCAATCCGTTACTCTACACGTAGAAACTCGCACCGGAGAGTGTACATGCCAAAAGTATCAAAACAGAAGAGTACCTTGTTCACATGCAATGGCAGTAGCTAAGTCGATAACCCTCAGCGCTTACAGTTTGGTTAGTCCTTACTACACGGAACAGGCGATCAGGAACTCCTACTCGTCAAGTTTTAGCCCCCTGCCGGATGAAGCTTATTGGCCTGTAGACAATGGGAAGTTGATTATCCCACCGTTACACTTAAAGCGCACCAAAGGTCGTCCTAGGACCGAAAGGATTCACAATGAAATGGACCAATCACAACGTGCCCGACGGGGTCCAAAGCGTTGCTCAAAGTGCAGACAACCGGGTCATGACAAGAGGCGTTGCCCAGGTCCACCTATAGAGCAAGATTCGGCGCCAATTCCGAACCAACCTTGATGTTGTTGTTGTTCACTTCCTTGTTTTAATCTTGTTGAGTAGTTTTCGTTGTTGTGATGTTTAATTTGGACTTCTTGTTTTAATCTTGTTGAGTGATTGTAATAAAGGGCGTTTGTTGTTCATTTTGTTTCAACATGGGGGTAAAAACCAACCAAATTTAGCCGACATAGATAGTTAATGGAAAACAACACAATCCGATTGCCAAATTTAGAAACATAGATAGTTCATGGAAAACAACACAAGACCCAAACCAAATTTAGACGACATGGATAGTTCATGGAAAACAAAAAAAGATGAAACTAAATTAGAACGACATAGATAGTTCACTGGTTGTCTTCATTTCCCTCCACTTCCCCTTCTCTTCCTCTTCCTCTTCCTCCACGACCTCCTCGGCCCCTTCTTCCTCCCTCTCTACCTCCTCCTCCTTCTTCACGAGCCCGCTGGACAACTGCGCGCGGATTCCTCTTAACCCGACCACCCACCGGAGTGTAGACAGGTGGTGGGGGGGGGAGGTTGCTGAGATGGACCAGAAGCGTGGTAGAAAGTCGATGATGTATGTTGTTGTTGCGGGGTCTGATACTGAGTAGTTTGTTGCTGATGGTGAAACTGAGGGGTGGCTTGGGTGAACATGTCATGCTCCTGAGTCGGGGCATAGCTTGACGACCCTCCGGTTCCCTCAGTACTAGTAGCCCACTCACAATGTGGCCATGGTTGAGGAAGTTGAGTTTGCTGAGACGGACGAAGCTCTTCAATGTGTTCTCTCACCCTTCTTCTGCTCCTCCGTGGGGGCTCTTGTGGGGGCACAATCCTCTCATCAGCACGGAATGAAGGTCGGGCCGGAGCAGGCACTGGAGGGTATAATATGACATCCCTCCTTTGCTCTCTGGTACAACAGAGCAAGTTGTTGAAAAGCCTGCGCAAAAAAGATGTCTTCCGCTCATCCATGGTGGGTGCACTCTCGACGGTGTGCTTCGCATGCTCCAAACCGTCAACCTAATAAATTGTTGTACAAAATTAACTAATAGTAAATCTAATAATGATTTCTATCATCTAATATAGGCATGTAATCATACTACAAAAATTAACTAACATTAAATCTAATAATGATTTCTATCATCTAATATAGGCATGTAATCATACTACAAAAATTAACTAACATTAAATCTAATAATGATTTCTATCATCTAATATAGGCATGTAATCATACACCAAAAATTAACTAACATTAAATCTAATATAGATAATTAACATTCTAGCTAATATAGGCATGTAATCATACTACAAAAATTAACTAAAATAGGCCAAACTGGAATTCACTTACCACTGCGCCCCAAACAGCACCTTGCTTTGACACCCATCTTAGCGTGAAGTTCCGATACCACCGCATGTAGCCATCGTGGTACCCCATTGGCCTTGTCTCCGGCGCCCCTTGGACCACCCACTGATTTCTATTCTCCCATATGTTGATGTAGAATTCATGCTTGCGGGTCCAATCCTTTTTGTTGTAGCGTAGGTCAATGGCGTGGAGCTCCCTGAACCCTTGAGGTGGGGATGCTGGAATTGGTTGCTCCAATCGATATTGCCTCAAAGATCGATCGGGCAGGTGCCACTCCACCATGTGCCAGCAGATTAAGGGCACCTTGCACAACCATGTCTCTTGATCCTCGGGATGTCTAAGACGATGCAACTCAACCACTTCATTTGGATATGGATCCCATACCGCCTACAATCATTAAAATTCATGGAATTAGTAAAAATTATATCCACTCCACCTAATAAATTGAAAATCATGACATTCAATATTTTTACCTGGTTCCACCAAGGCTTATCAAATTCAGCACGATAAAACAGTAAAGAGTGCTCGGGCTGGTGGTCGTTTGTATTTGCTCCGATCCACCTAATTAAGCAAAAGTACATATATAAGCAATTTTTAAATGAGCTAAATGCGATTTGGTTAGAATAAATCCAAATTCACTTACTTGGAAGATATCTAAATTCACTAATCATCTAGAATTGCAGACCTAAAATGTCTCTAAATCCGCTTAGTTGGAAGATAGCTAAGTTCACTAAAATACTATAATTCTAAACCCTAAATTGCATACTAAGTTCACTAAAATCTAAATTCACCTAACTAGCTACCATTGCATATCTAAAATAAATTCAACTTAAATTGAACTTACTTGAAACCATATGGGGGATTTGCTACAAATCGTAGCTCATCATCTGGCAACCAGAATTCCCGAGGGTCTCGAGGTGCGAGAAACGGAAGATGCTCCCATGCCCAGAGCTGGAGTATGAACATCGCACCACCAGCTTGTTTCGCTCCCAACTTCGAGCAAGTACACAACTCGCGGTAGATCCCAGCCAAGACGGCCGACCCCCAGCTTCTTTGCCCGATCTCGTCCCAGTCACCGAGGAGCATATTTAACCACATGCCTTGTATCCACCGGTTTGACTTGTCGGGGAACAGAAACCCACCAACCAAGGCAATTAGGTAGACACGTGCATACCGCTCCACCTGATCTTCAGGAGTATCCAGGCCTATATTAACCTCCATCTGGATGTGGTCAACAAGCCACGGGATCGATACTTGCCCCGCATTCAGTGGTGGATGCCCCTGACCTTCGACGGGCGTGGTGGTCGGCATGTTGAACCCCAGACGTTGTTGAATTAATGGCCCCCAACCGTCTTCTGGTTTTCTCGAGCTGTCGATGATGGCATCTCCGGTGATCGGGAGCCCGGTGAGGATGGCAACATCTTTGAGGGTGATCGTCATTTCACCCTCGGGAAAGTGGAAGGTATGCAGCTCAGGGCGCCATCGCTCTGCCATTGCCGTAAGCAGATCGTTGTCAATATCTAGCCTCATAAAGTGCCTCAAATTGTGCAATCCCGCCCTCTCTAGATAGGGATGCAGTCGAGGATGCCAACGGGGCAATCGACATGTACCTCGATGACTGATGGGAATAAGTGATTCCTACAAAACAAAAAACACAATATTGTCAGTCAATAGAAAGCAAAATAAAAACTTAGAAAGCAAAATAAAAACTTTAAAACTATTGAAATAATTTTAGTGTGTCTACCGGATTATTGTTCCAAATTGAACGAGAGCGATGTTGATCTTGCCCGGTTAAATACCTTCGATCCCTTGGGCCAGGATCGATATACAATCTAGGGTCGTATATCTCAGCACCCATCTATAAAAAAATATGAAATCAAATCAATTTAAATTTTCGCACCCATGTAAAAAAAAATCACAAAAGAATTAAATAAATTTACGTACTCTCAAAGCCTCTTCGTCGATTTTTTGCCGAAAAGCTAGCGAGAGTATCGACAAAAAAACCAAAACTCTAGTAATTCTTTCTGATGCGGAAGATCGGACTTAGCCGCAACCACAGAGCATACTTAGAACGAAACTAGAGTGAAGTTGGAGGGAGAAAGAAGTATAAAATTTGGTGGTGTGATTTGGAATGAGGGGGGGGAGTGGTATTTATAGGGGGGGAAGGGAGGGGAAGGGGACGCTGGAAATTAATGGCGGCCAATCACCGCTTTCCTCGCCTGCAGTGACAACACCGCTCCAGTCAAAGGCGGTGATGGGCGGATGGCTGACGTGGCGAGGCGTGAGGCGTCGGATCGTGGAGAAAAACCACAATCCGCGCCTCACCGCATCGAACGGCAGCGGTGAAGGGCGCGGATGGCGCGGATCGCTGACGTGGCGGGGCGGGGCTATCACCGCTTTCGTCTTACGCGGTGAAGTCCCCGCTCCTCGCCACGTCAGCGATCCGCGCCAACTTCACCGTTTTTGATCTCAACGGTGATAAACCTTCACCGTTGTTCTTATCAACGGTCAATCGATCACCGCTTTGGTTGAAGGCGATGATAGCTTCACCGTTTTGGACAAAAACGGTGATAGCATCACTGTTGTTGTTTAAAGCGGTGATACTATCACCGTTTTGAACCAAAACGGTGAACACCATCACTGTCTTGGACAATGACAGTGATGGTGAAACTGCTGTATTTTGGGAAATTTTTTTATAAGTCTTGTATTTGAGGAATTTTTTTTAATAGGTAGGGTATTTTGGGATTTTTTCCCAATTATTTCTATACATATTATACTTTTCACCCGAGTTTGTATACTAATCACATAAATTAATTTCTATTCATTCACAAAATTTATTTTTTCACCCAATTTCATAAATCAATCACACAATCTAACCTATCATTCTTTATTAAACGATTGTCGTGAGATCAAATGCAACATACAATTATTTTCTAGTGCCGCCTGAGTGGAGTTTACTACTACTGCCTACCCCTTGTCACCTTTCTTTTATGTCCCTTGGACAGCATCTCACAAACCAACCTCATCTCCGGCCTAAACTGTGGATCAACATTCAAACACAGCGCTGCAATCCTCACAACGTTCTCTAGCTCTTGCCGGAATCCAGGCACAGGCCGTGCGAGCCGCCGGTCTAGCAGATCATCCAACGACACCACCGCCGCCGCGGCCTCCTCCTCCGTAGAAGATGCCAATGACAACACAAGTTCCCCTGGATGGCTCCCTCTAATCACTTCCAGCGCCACCACTCCAAAACTGTACACATCGCACTTCTCGGTCACCCTCATGGTGTATGCCAACTCTGTCGCGTAAACCAAATTCAGTTAGGTGTCATTTAAGGGATACAAACTTGTGACCTCCAGATTCGAAACCAATCAGTAACACTAAACGAAGCTCATTTTACCTGGAGCAATGTAGCCACGGGTGCCCGCCTGTGTAGTCCAATTGGAGCTATCCGAGCTGAGAAGCTTGGCAGTCCCAAAATCCGCAACTTTGGCCTCGTAATCGCGATCCAGCAACACATTGTTGCTCGTAACATCTCGATGAACGATCGGGATCGCGCAATCGTGGTGCAGGTAAGACAGAGCATGCGCCACGCCCCTCACAATGTTCAATCTCTTCCCCCAGTCAAGCTCTCGAGCTCCCGAGTTGTCCTGGCTCAAAACAGAGGCCAGGCTTCCTCTGTCCAGATACTCGTAGACAAGGAAAGAGTGATTAGACTGAGAGCAGAACCCATACAGCTTCACGATGTTCCGGTGCCTTATCTCCGTCAGCGCTTCTACCTCTCTGAGAAACTCCTTGTGGGATTCGTCGTCCTCGCTGCTGTCGTCGGAACAATTCAGCTTCTTCACCGCCACGATGATGCCCGAAGGCAGGGTTGCTCTGTACACCGTACCGTACCCGCCCCTGCCTATGCAGTGTGCAGGATCGAATCGGTCCGTGGCTGTAACGATGTCGGAGTACATGATTTTGGTGTCGAACCCCGGTGCGAGCAGGACCTGCTGTTCGTGATCCTGCTGGCCTCGTGGGTTTCTGCTGTACAGGAAGAACATCGCCCAGCTGAGCACAAGCAGGAGTACAACTCCTAGAACCGGGAAGAAAATGACCAAGAAGAGGAATCTCCGCAGATTCCTGTTCTTGGTTGGACCGTTGTCTGTTGCGTTGCAGGGTTGTACAACATTACTTCCTCCACATAGTCCATCGTTCCCCTCTAGTTCTTCCATTGACGCGTTTCGAAACTCGGGGCTTGTCGGCAGGGGACCCTGCAATCTGTTGTGGGATATATCCACCGTATGCAATGGAATTTGGGCAAAACCATTGGGAATTGATCCAGAGAGTGAATTTCGCGAGAGGTTGAGGAACTCCAAGCTGCTCAAGGAGGTAAGCTGTGATGGAATTGCGCCGGTGAGCGAGTTTCGGCTCAAATCCAGAGTCGACAGATGAACCAACCTTCCCAATTGCTCAGGAATCCGGTCACCGAACTGGTTGTTGCTCAAGTTCAAGTCGTTGAGCTGCGTCAGCTCGCCCAAACTCCCTGGAATCGACTCGTTGAGTCGATTCGAGGCGAGTTGGAGCGAATCGAGCTTCGTCAACGACCTTATTTCGAGAGGAATCGGCCCCGAGAGTTGGTTCCCGGAGAGCTGCAGCTTGACTAGAGAGGTCAGATTGGCGAGCTCTAAGGGAATTTGGCCAACTAATTGGTTGGAAGAAAGATCAAGAGCTTGAAGCTTAGGGTGATTACCGATCGGCCCCGGGATTTCGCCTGTGACTCTGTTTCCTGATATCCGCAGAGTAGCTAGATTCGGACAGGAAACCCATTTCGACGGCGAGACCTCGCCGTGGAAATTGTTCCGGCTGAGATCGAGGTACTGCAAATTCGGGTAGATTCCGAAATCCTCGGAAATGTTGCCGGTGAATTGATTGTCTTCCAGCCGAACTCGGATGAAAGTTGTGCAGTTCTTGAAGCTTGTTGGAACAGAGCCGCTGAAGTTGTTGGAATGGACCGTGAGATTTTGGATCCCGCCGCAGAGGGTATCTGGGAGATCGCCGGTGAAGTTGTTGGTGTCGAGCTGAAGAACTGTAAGCTTGGTGAGATTCGTTATAGAATCAGGAATCGAACCGGATAGATTGTTCACCCGGAGAAACAGGATCTCCAGATTCTGCAAGTTCCCAATTGAAGCCGGGACGGTACCGGTGAGTCTATTGTCGCTGAGCTCTAAATCGGCGAGGGAGTCTAGGTTGCCGATCCCGGGCGGGATCGGGCCGGAGAGGCGGTTGGAGTAGAGATGGAGGAGAATGAGGGAATTCAACCGGGTGAGAGACGGCGGGATTGAACCGGATAAGTTGTTGGTATGGAGACTGAGGTATTGGAGGGATTCGAGGTTTCCGATCTCGTCGGGGATGGCGCCGGAGAGGTTGTTGTCGAAGATGAAAAATGTGGTTAGTTTGGTCAGGTTTCCGAAACTGGCTGGGATCGGACCGGACAGTTGATTTGTATCGATGAACAGTTCGGTTAGAGCGGTGGAGAGGTGACCGATTTCGGGTGGGATCGGACCGGATAGCTCGTTGCTGTAGAGATATAGCCGAGCTAATTTGGTGAGGTTTCCAATTGACGAAGGGATCGGACCGGTGAGGCGGTTTTCGTAGAGCGCGAGCTCGGTTATCGACTCGAGTCGACCGATTTCGTCAGGGATTGCGCCGGTGAGCCTGTTTTCGACAATGTGGAGGACTTGGAGGTTCGCCAGGCGACCGATCTCCGGAGGGATGCGGCCGGAGAGCTGGTTGAGGGAGAAATCGAGGTCGACCAGGTTGGCGAGGAGGCCGATTTCGGGCGGGATCGAGCCGGTTAACAGGTTTACGCTGAGCTCCAAGTGGGTGAGATTGGGGAGGGAGGAAAAGGGGAATGCTTGGAGGGTGCCGTTGAGGCCGGAGTTGGTCAGGTTTAATCGGACGACATCGCCGGCGGCGGAGCAGGAGACGCCGACGAAATTGCAGGGGCTGCCGTTGGCCGCGGCACGCGGCCAGGTGGAGATGTTGGATTGGGGGAGGTTGTGGAGCGTGGAAGCCCATCTGAGGAGGCCACCGGCTGCTTCCGAGGCCGCCGGCGGAATGAAGGCTGAGAGGAGGAGAAGGAGCAAAGACACGGCGGCGGAGCTCTGCCATTCCGCCATTTTTTTTTTTTTTTTTGTCGGGTGTACGGGAAGCTTTGGAATTTGGATCAGGAGTGGGAGATTTAAAAGCTTAATTGTAAGGTCAACTGTTAAAGTTTGAGAATGCAGCTTGTTTTAGTTCGTGAGTTGACTTAGCCTTAGCCATGGTTAATCCAGCCGCCCATGCGGGCATCTGTAGCTTCATGCATGTGCTCTGTGTCCATGAACATGAGACAGAACCCAAAAAAAGCTTACTGAGCAAACATAAAATACGACATGTCGGATTATAGTAATGATTAGCTTGGCTGATCCATTTTTCTCGCAAAGTAGTGCTTACAGAGCAATCGTTTTATTTGTCTATGGACATTCTGAGTTCTGACTGGGGGAGTGTGAGAGAGTAGGATTTTGAGAACAAGTTCCCAACTTTCAGAAAAGTACAAACCAGTAATGACCAGTTGACTAGGGGTTCGGTGGAGCCGGTTTTCATATATGATATATACCATTTTCGAATCACAGTTTTAAAATTATAAACATCTCCTAATCAATGTTGTGCGGAAATGTTGTATGACATACCAAAATCAATTAGTATTCGATTCGGAGAAAACTCACTTGCACCATTCTCGAACAATCATATATGAAATTCTTTATATAATCTACATTTTTTCTTAGAAAGTCAATGTCAATTGAGTTTCTTTGTCATGTTGTTTGTAAAGCGGATATAAAAGTAGCAAGATTTGAGGACTAAAAGATCATTTAATTTTAATTTAATTTGATTTGAGACATATGGATGTCCTAAGTGTTAAAGTGAGTGTGTATAGATCACAGATACAACACATATTTGAGTGGATTTGGTACAAATACTTAAAACACTAAAATAGCACGAAACTCTTACATTTCTTGTCATGTTCGGGGAAAATCCAACCAAAAATAATATTAGATTAAAAATCCAACCACGGTAATGAGTTATTTTGCTATCCGATACAACAAACACAAAACGGGCTAGAAAATTGGCGGGAAGCAAAGTTGGGCCCAAAGAAATTTGATCCGGCCCATTACCGAATGAAAAGGGTCCAAGTTCCGCCTCAAGACTTCCCATCACGGGTCACTAGCATAGGGCTCGACCCATTCGTCGGAAGAATTTTGTCGAGAAATATGGTATATGTAATGGATATAATAGATAATTTTTTATGGAAGATATAATAGATAATTTGAAATGCATGAAATGAGTGTTTTGTACCTTAGTTATGCACCTAACATTTTTGAAAGTGATCCAGCTATGCATAATGTGTTTAAACCTCCATGAAAAGAGAAAAAAAATGATATAAATATCACATATAATTATTGAATGAAAAAGAAATAAATATAACTAATTGTCGTTAATTACTTAATTAAATCATGTAGTTGAATATTAGAGTTGCTTCTCATAATACATATATAATCAACCATTTGGATGAAAGAAAATGTCTCTCATACAATTCAATATGTCCTTTAAGTTTTTCCCAATAGAGAGCATATTTTTACCACACCGTTGATAATTAATCTGAAGTTGCTTGATTTGAAGTATATAGGGCATGATGCTAAGTTTGTCACCAATAGTTAGTTGAGCAATGTGAAAGAATAATATAATGTCATCTCCTAAAATAAAGCAAAAATCAACAGAATAATACCAACAATACTCACTAAGCAAAGAAGAAGAGCAACTATTTCACACTGCCTCATTTTCCTCCTCTTTTAAATGTCTCATCTCACTCTCTCTATGCCTTTCTGTTTCTTTTTTTGTTTGTTCTTCCATCTCTCTCTGAGCTTTGTATCTCACGACTCTCCCCATTTCCCTTGCTCTTTCTTCCCATCGTCTGTAATCGAGAGAAACCTAGAAACATCCCAATTAGTTCTCCAATTTTGCGTTCGAAATGCTTCCTCTCCATTCACAGTCGATACTGTGAATCAGAGCACCTAAAATTTGGTGAACAGATGATTGCTTATTCTTCGTCGGAGCAAAGCAGTTTGATAGCATGTGAATAAACTAATTACCTAAAGTGATAAAAATGAAACTCGTTAAACCAATCGAGTGAGTGTATAATTAGTTTATACCTTAAAACATTTTAGTTATCTATAGAATCAAAATGCATATTCATGTTCATCTTCACTTATTTACATGTATTTGTTGTACAAATTCATTACACATAAAAAATGGTTTTGAACCGACATATTAAACTAAATCTCATCTTATGATTATTGGGTGCAATCATGTCAGATTAGCAAGAGGTTTAGGTTATTGGCCAACCGGGCTTAAATTAATACTAATTTAAGAATTATATATCACTTCTAAATGTTCAATACTACAATTCAATATGCAATATTTGAACAAATGATATATGAGTTTCAACGACTTAGGATAGGGCCAGTAACCATTGGTTACTGACCTATGAGTAACTAAATCTGGACCTTTAGATCTAAGTGGGTCCAGAAAATTCATATATAAGGGTTGTCAATTAAAGACATTTTATTTTCCCTAGTTTTTTTAATCGGCTCTTATCTTCTTCGTTCTAACTCGGATTTCAATTTTTTTTTTTTTTTTGCATAGATGGAACGAGTTCGTTGTGCTCTACAAAATGAGATCAATTTTCAATATATTTCGAGAAACTTTTTTTTACCAACTACTTACCATATGGTAACTTCTTCGTTTTTAAGTCGTTTTTGAAAACGTTTGCTCAGAAGGAACGAGTTCATCATGATCTATTGATCTATAAATTTCTGGGTGAAAAAAATACTAGATAAAAAATTATCATACTTTACCACTATGTTATGTGGGTGGTAACTTATGGTAAGTTGTAGTAAACAATAATGAAAGTCGTAAATGATAGTTAGTATATTCCTACTATTATGTATTCAACCTTCTTACCATATTGGTATGTTCTTACCATCATGGTAGGGGTGGGCATTCGGTCGGTTCGGTTTCGACCGAACCGAAATTACGAATATTGGGTCCCCGAATTCTCTCAAACCAAATTCGAATCGAATTATAATTCGGTTCGGTTTGATTTTTCACACAAAACCGAATTTGTGAAGCTACTTGTATCTTCTCACTTTAAAATTATTTTTCACACCTAATATAAATAATAAATATGCAATTATATGCATCATCAATGGTAATATCAAACTTTTCAACACATAAGTCATAAAACATTTCAAATATTTAAGTCTAAAAACAACTACAAACATAGAAATCCACCATTTGGAGCTTGCAATTATAGTATTTCGGTTTTACAGTCGGAAATTCAGAAATTCAGTTCGGTTGAAAGAACCCTGGTTTCCGAACTATCCATATTTTCCTTCCGAATTCCGAACCGAATAGCATTAATTCGATTTCGGTTCGGTTCGGGTTTACCGAACCGGTTGCCCACCCCTACATCATGGTACGCTTTTATACCATATAGTATTAAATAGGAGCATACCATATGGTGATGACCGGTAAAGAATTATTCAATTTTTTGTACTAAAAATATATCAAAGTGGATATCATTTTAAAGAGCACATTTAATCTTATTTATCTGTGCAAAAAAATTAAATTTTGACTTAAAACGATAGAGAAATTGTCCGTTAAAGATTAAAGGGGAAAAGATAAAAGACTTCCCATGAAAGAGAGGATATTAAAATATCATGCTGGTGTGGACAGGTTACTCATGGTTACTGACCATAGAGTTACTGACCTGATCCGTTCTCAGTTTCAACCCCTTCTTCAAATCTTTTAGACCAAAAAAATCTATCCTCCCCTCAAAGGCTCAAACACACACACATTTGCAAAGTGATACTAAATCTCGATTTCTTTTTCACTTACTTGCTTCTAAAGTTATTGTTAACGTTGTTTGTTATTACTGCAAGTTGTACAAAAGACTTTTCAGCTATGAAGTTAATCAATAATTATTTTATAAATGAGTGTTAGTTGTATACATTGTAAAAGTTTGAATCTCAAAGCAAACAATGAATGTTTTTTTATAAACCTTTTAGAATATGAGTTGTCACACGTTGATGTGAAAATCTACTCAGTAATTCAAAAACTTTATGTTATCTTTAGAATATTTTGTTTTATTTTTATCAAATGACGCATTTGTCCATAAAATAAGAGTTCACCAATATAAACTGTGTGGCTCGCAATTGTGCGTGAGCCCTTGAAGTTTAAGTCTGGTAGGACTCATGAAACATTCATGTCTGTACATGGTCGATCCATATATATTGTACTCATGGTATGCGCTAACTGTGTCGTACTAGCTCGACCATGTGCCTAGGTATAGTTATATCATATATTTATTCTAATACTTAAGTTTCTACCTATTCATAATACCAAAATAAATAAATAATCATAAATGCACCCAATATTAGATTTTGACTACATGTAATACTACATTACCATTGATGTCACAAATTAATAAGTATACCTCTAAATCATATATAAAATATTTCAAACATCACAAATTTTAAGATTAAATTAATTATTATAGAGAGTAAAATATCCTTTTGTATTTTGTCTAAACTAAACTGTGCTTATAATTTAATATTAATATTAAATTAATTATTATAGAGAGTAAAATATCCTTTTGTATTTTGTCTAAACTAAACTGTGCTTATAATTTAATATTAATATTTGAATCAGTGTTACTTGAGTTCCGATTTAGAACTAACCTCACTCTATAAAATATAAATAAATTAAGATAAAACATAAATATAGAAGCATCATCACCAAACATATTTATAGAGTTTAATCAAAGAGATAACAATAATACAATATAGCCTAGTTGGTTATAATGATCTTTCTTCATTTATTAAGTTACCATGGTTCGAACTCCAATGATAACAATTTTAATATATAAAGATGATTTGTGTGCAATGACAAAAATGACTTTACTAGAATTACTCCTAGGCCACGAAATTTGAAATGGGACAATCCCAACCCATGTTTTGTCTTTATATATTTTGTAGATAAGAAGCATTAGATCACCAATATAAGAAACTAGTGGTGGGAAGTGGTCCGGTCCAGACCAGACCATAAATACAGTTTGTGGTCCAGACCGAGAGGTTGGAACACAGACCATGGACCAGACCATATATTATACGGTCCAGACAAGACCACACCTGTGCGGTGCGGTCCGATACGGTCTGGACCAGACATACCATGTTAAAAAAAATTTAACTCTTGTTCGCCCTCCAACCCTTCGCCGGTATCTATAAAAAAAAATCTAGTGACCAATATGCTAGTGAAACAAAAAATTTGTGATCGTAATTAAATGAGAAGAAATATGAGGATAAAAGTGGGGGTTTTCAATTTTCAAACACACACATCAAATAGCCTTGTTTCCCTATTCCTCTTTGTGCTACCGCTTCTCTCCTCTCTCTCGAGTGATGTGAAGGTTCTCCCGGTTGATAACCTATGTGATGACGTCGAGGTAATTTTGAACCACCAAGATGGTCGCATATCTCTCAATAATTTTCCTTATCTCATCAAGGTGGACGAATTTTTTCCTAGTGTTTAATTTTTATCGACTCCATAGTCTAGACATTGTCTATGAATATTATTTATGAGTCTTTCTGGTTTTTGTGTGATTCTTTGATAAGGAGATAACATATAAGCGATCATTTGACAATTTGTTGGCTCTCAACTAGATGAAGAATCAACTAACTTTGTTCTTCAAATACACATATGGAGGTTCAATTTGGTGTTATTTTTGTCCGAGGTAGTAGGTAGTGTGTCACGGTTAATTACGATTTACTGCGATAGACCGCGGTCCAGACCACTTCAGACCACGCACTAAAGGAGGAGATCGCAAACCAAACCAGACCATAATTCTGGTCTCATGATCAAGACCAAACCATACGACACGGTCTAGACCGCGGTTTTCCATACGGTTTGGTCTAGATTCCGGACCTATAAGAAACAAACAAAGCATCCTTTCATAACTTGTTTTTGGCTTTTTGCCCAGATTCCCCGATCCGAGACCGCCGTCGCATTCCTCCAGTATCCCGTCCATATACATTCTACGATCAGGAATACATAAACCGTCTTCTGTGTATTCCTGATCGCCCCAGATTTGAGAACTTCGCATCCAGTTGCAAATCCGTCTTCTGTGTATTATTCAGTTCAGTCAGCTAGAGCGATGGCGGCCGCTGGTTCAGTCCAGAAAACAGACGAAGAATGGCGGGCGATTCTCTCTCCCGAGCAGTTCCGAATCCTCCGCGAGAAGGGAACCGAGTAACTCCTCCCTCCCTCACTCACCTCTCTTCCGATTCAATTGCGCAATTTCCAAAAGGAAACTTTTCAAAGCTGATCTTGCTGTTTAATAGGTTGAAATCCACGGGGGAATACGACAAGTTCTTCGAGGAAGGAATCTACAAATGCGCTGGCTGCGGCACTCCTCTTTACAAATCGGGCACCAAGTTCAATTCCGGCTGTGGGTGGCCGGCTTTCTTTGAGGGACTCCCCGGAGCCATCCATCGCACTGTGAGTTAGCTCTGTCTCACCCCCTACAAAACCCTTTTCCCCCTTGTTTTTGTTAGCATCTCTGTAGCAGTCAATGAATGGAAAGATTGTTGCTTGATTGCTTTTCAGCCGGACCCAGATGGGAGGAGAACTGAGATCACTTGTGCAGCTTGTGGCGGGCACTTGGGCCATGTTTTCAAGGGCGAAGGGTTCAAGACCCCAACAGATGAACGCCACTGCGTCAACAGCGTCTCTATCAAGTTTGATTCTGGGAATTGATGAGGTTTGATCTTAGCTTGTGGTGTGGGAATATGCTGGAATGTATGTCTGACGAATCAAACTGATCAGAAAGCAGCTGCGATCATCCTGTTGAGATTGAAATCGTGTGAAAAGCAATAATGGAGAATATGTTGGGTTGGGTTGGGTTGATTAATTTCGAATCTGTTGTCTGTTACCTAATGTTTGCTTTACTCACTGTTAAGGTGAAGCCATTATTCCAAGCAAATTTTAGTCTGATGCTTCTTTTCATCGTTGATACCATATTCTCACTGGGTATTGCATTTGCATCTACAACTTACTGTCCTGTCTTAGTTAGTTGGCTGATCTTCAAGTTTGGTGCCGTATCATATTTGTTTCAGAAGAAGGATGAGAAATCTTGAATCTTTCTTCCCTAGAAAGGTGGGAACCTCTCCTCCTGGCTGATAGATAAAATTGGCGCGCTAGAATTGAATGGTCAAACTTGGAAGATTTGCACTGATTGAGATATCCTCGTGGCTGCCAACGAGGAACCTCTCCTTCCTGCAAATGCGTCTGCAAAAGATGGCTTCAGTTGATCTTCGATTCCAACTTTATCAAACTCCATCCTTCAAGGTTTCCAACCATTGGCATCTTGATGTGCAGTCGGTATAGTTCGCAAGCTATGAACAGACTCAGGTTCTCAACGATTCAGGAACAAGCACCTAGCGACGACATCGACTTCTGGGTGGTAGAGAGCAAGGAGTTCTCTCGTGGTGTAATCTTGCCAAGGGTTGATCAGTCTCTGCCAAGGGAATGAAGAAGGTGACTGGGACTTTGTCCACATTTGCAATCCAATATTGGGGGGAGTACATCTCCATTCTAGTGGCTAACACTGGAAAGTACTCGACAGGGTACTCATTCTGATTCTGCTCGTCCACTAATCAGTACAAGGTAGTCCAAACCTACTACTAAATGGAAGTGCTCATGTTAATGTTAGTGATGATGTGCCCAAAGCCGAAATCTACACACTTGGTAATGGTATGGGTCACTAGAGAAGCACTGGCAATGCACTTTCCTCGGTTGTGTATGCATCCTCACAGTTCAACACTGTCCTGGATTCATCCATCCATTGGATTGTGTAGAGGATGGGAGCACAGATGATTTGATTTTGGAAGGGAAGAGCTTCACCAGCCGCGTTCACCGCCTTGTGCTGCAAGTCTTGGTGCTTCCATAAAGTTGGGAGTGCTTAAGGATTGTCTGTGTGCAGCTCTCTTCAACTGGTGAGGAATTTGAGATCTTGGTCATGAAAGAGTATGGGAAAAATGATTCTTTTTACAGTACTATACGGAGTTGGAAATTTTGACATGAATCGCTCGATAGACCAGACTAAAAACAGTAAGATGGCAACGAGCACAACATGAAAAATATGATAACGAAAAGTAAAACGACACACGATGTTTTATGTGATATCCCCGATTTAGTGATCGGGACTAGTCCACGGGAGAGATTAGCCTCTCCGGCTTAGCTCTTATTACTTGATGAATTGTGTTACAGGTCTCGTGACCTTACAAGTATATTTATATCTCCTGTAATGGATGGGTAAACTACTCAACCTAGAGGAGTCTGCTAGGTTAAACTTCCTTCTCCTTCTCGACGTGGAAGACTCATTTGAGCAAGCCATGTTTGCCGCAGGAGTGGGCTGATGGTGTGAAGTGGGCTTCTCGTGTAAAGTGGGCTGAACGCCATCATCACAGCCCAATACGCCCCCGCAAGCTAGACGGTGCAAATCTCGAACGTTCAGTTTGGACAACAAGAAAGTGAACCGATCAGCTCCTAAGCCCTTGATGAAAATATCAGCAACCTGAAGCTGTGAACTAACCTTAAAGGGAGCAATGTCGCCGGACACAACACGTTCACGGATGAAATAGCAATCCATCTCCACATGTTTAGTACGTTCATGGAAAACCGGATTGGCTGCAATGTGGATAGCAGCCTGATTATCGCAGCGAAGAGGAGTAGCTTGCGACTGAGGAACACCAAGCTCACTGAGAAGCCAACGAAGCCATACAATCTCACTAACAGTAGCAGCCATGGCTCGATATTCCACTTCTGCCGATGATCTGGCAACCACATTCTGCTGCTTGGTACGCCACGAGATAGGCGCCGAACCAAGAAAGATACAAAAACCACTGATGGATCGCCAGGTAGACTGGCATCCCCCCCAGTCTGCGTCGCAGTACACACTAAGACGAAGATCATTAGAGGACGGAAAATACAAACCATGGCCAGGTGCTAACTTCAGGTATCTGAGAATGCGCATGGCAGCATCCATGTGTGCCTGAGTAAGAGCATGCACAAAACGACTCAAGATGTTCACGCCGTAAGTGATGTCGGGTCGAGAAACAGTCAGATATAAAAGTCGACCCACCAAGCGACGATAGGCGGAACTGTCAACAAGAGTCTCAGATGACGACATGGTCAGCCGATGATTCTGTTCAACTGGGAAGGTGCTGTGTCGAGCCCTTAGGACGCCAACTTCTTCCAATATATCAAGGACATATTTCCTTTGATTAATGACGAGGCCTGCCGGAGAACGAGCTACCTCCAATCCGAGAAAATAGCGCAGAGGACCTAAGTCCTTAATGCTGAAACGTTTGTCAAGAAAATCCTTGACACGGGTGATAAAGGCCATATCGGTACCTGCCAGAATCACATCGTCAACGTAGATTAAGGCAACAACGAAGGATGTACCTTGCTTGTAGATGAACAATGAGTGGTCAGCCGGAGAAGCGCGGAAGCCAAGCTCACAAAGTGATGCTGTGAACTTTTGATACCAATTTCGAGATGCCTGTTTCAACCCATAAATGGACTTATGAAGACGACAAACTCACTTATCACCAGGCTCAGAAAATCCAGGGGGAATTTTCATGTAAACTTCTTCATGTAAATCCCCATACAGAAATGCATTATTAACGTCCAACTGATGTATGAACCAGCCACGACTAGCAGCCACAGCAAGGAGAGTGCGAACTGTAACGAGTTTCGCGACCGGGGCAAACGTATCATGGTAGTCTAGGCCTTCAACCTGTGTATAGCTCTTTGCTACCAAACGTGCCTTGTATCTCTCTATTTCACCATCGGGACGATATTTTATGCGGAAAACCCACTTTGAATCAATAATATGAACTCCGGGAGGGGGTTCGACTAGTGTCCAAGTCTTGTTTGCCTCAAGAGCTTTGACCTTAGTCTTCATCGCTTCGCGCCAACGAGCGTGTTTGACTGCTTCATGAAAATAGCGGGGCTCTGGGTACGAGTGACTGCCGCTGCAAAAGCTCTATATCGAGGAGTAACACGAGAGTAAGAGGGCTGGCCAGAGATCGGGTACCTGATATTTGAGACGGAATTGACGCTGGTATCATATATATCCAAGCGTTTCGAAGGCCATTTTTTTCGGAGGCCACGGCCAAGTGCTGGTTCCGAAGAGGCATGAGGACTGGTCGAGGAGGATGTGTTGGTTTGGGTTGACTCTTGAGCAGGTAAGCCAAAAGGAACGGGCGACTTGTGAAAATCGCGATGATGACCTTGCTCCTCATTCCCTCGTGGAGTAGATGGGGAATGTGAAAGTGAGCTGCTCGTGGGTACATGAGACTCATCTTGTGCATGGCCATGCACTAATAATGGACTAGAGGAAGAATTATCAACCACGGCCAGATTTGGTCGTTGCTGCTTGTCAACTTGATCTGCATCAAAAACATCAGCTGAAATCCAATGAAACTCCCTAGGATCTTGAGCCTGAAAGGGGAAATAATTCTCGTGGAAGATAACGTCACGAGACACTATAATTTTCTTGGTCAACAAGTCATAAACCTTGTATCCCTTCTGAGTTGCTGCGTATCCCAAGAATACACCGGCACGCCCCCGCTCCGCATATTTTGAGAGTCCCCCATGAGTATCTTTGACATAAACAAGACATCCGAAAATTCTCAAGTGATCATACGAACCCAATTTTCCAAATAACACTTCAAATGGGGTCTTCCCGGTCGCTGTCGTGGGCAAGTGATTTATTAAATACACAGCTGTTAACACGCATTATCCCCAAAAATGTATGGGAAGGCCAGATTGAAATCGCAGAGCGCGGGCTGTCTCAAGGATATGTCGATGCTTAGGATCGACCACTCCATTTTGTTGGGGAGTGTCCGTACAACTCGTCTGCAGTATGATTCCGGACTTCTCATAGAAGGTGCGTAACTCAGCTGTCATGAACTCTAATCCATTATCTGCCTGTATACGCTTGACGCGTTTGTTAAACTGTGTAGCTACCATTTCACAAAACATCAACAGATAACGAGACACCTCAGATTTAAACTTGAGCAAATAAACCCACACACCACGACTGAAGTCGTCCACGATAGTCAAAAAATAATGAGCTCCACTTAAAGAAGCAACCTGATATCCTCCCCAAATATCGACATGAATCAATTCAAAACAATCTGATGTCTTGATGGAACTAGTGGGAAAAGGATTTCTAGTTTGTTTTGCCCAAAAACATGAATGACAAGGGCCCTTGACTGAGCTAGGAGTAAAAGAAATAACATGGTTAAGCTGTGAAAGCTTTAAGGAGGATGGATGACCCAGTCGGCCATGCCATATGTCTTCGGCAGCAGACTTCTTTCCATCAGCTGTGAACACAAAACGCTCCTGACTGCTTAACATCTTCAAGTGATATAGCCCATCACGGAGAATCCCCTTCCCAATCACGCTCTTGGATTGTAAGTCCTGAAGTATACACAAGTCATTCATGAATATCACGGTCACCTTATTTTCTTTTGTCAACCGACTGACTGACAGTAGGTTACATTTAAACTCTGGCACGTATAAAACCCGATCCAGTTTCAATACTGTAGATAGTTCAACTGACCCGATCTTTCTCACCGGAACACTGTCCCCATTTGGAATTTTAACGGGATGACTACTTCGATCAACAACATCACCACTCAATAAGCAAGCATCTTTAGTGATGTGTTCGTTACAACCAGAATCGATCAACCATTCAGAATTCTCAGGGAACATACCTGCCATGTGCGCGGAAGGATCGTCAATTGTGTTTGGTGTTGTGAGAAGCCTTCTTAGTTGATTAAGCTGCTCAATGGTAAATCCTGGGAGGAGACTGCTTTTGGCTTCAGATTGGGCCGCGCGAGGTTGAGATTCATTTTGTCGGCGTTTTCTTTTGTCAGACCGATCTCCTTGTCCACTCTTCTCACGACTTGGCCATCCTATTAGTTCAAAACAGGATTCCTTCAAGTGGCCGATCTTACCGCAATGAGTGCACTTGGGCTTTTGTCGATCTCCTTCTCCTCTAGAACGATCCCCTTCACCTCTAGTGCGATCGCCTTCATTCCGAGTAGAAAAAGCAGCTGCTTCAATGTTGGTTTCCGCCTTTGTGCTAGAAGACGTTGGTGCTCATCGTTTGCAACGATATTGTATGCTTCTGCCAAGGTAGGAGGTGGCTTCATGGACAAGATTTGGCTACGAACGGTGCCGAAGCTCTCATCAAGCCCCATAAGAAAGTCAAACAACCTCGCTGTCTCTTCTTTTGCCCGAATCCGTTTCTCAAGTCCACATTGACAAAGGCCACAAGTACATGCTTCGCTTGGAGAAATGGCATTAGCTTCTTCCCAGAATGTGCGTAGCTGGGTGTAGAAAGAAGACATAGTAAGCTTCTCTTGCCACAAAGCTGAGATTAGCCGACGAAGCTCATACCCTCGCGTGAGAGACCCATGGCCGAATCGTTCTTTTAAGTCCACCCAAATCTCACGTGCCGACTTAGCAGAACGAACACTGCTACGGACTTCTTTGTTCATGGCCATTCGAAGCCAACCTTTCACGTGAGCATCGCATCTAGTCCATGCTCGCAAATCAGGATCCCTTTCTGGTTTAGGAACCGTACCATCTACAAAACCGAACTTGTTCTTGACAATCAAGGCGTCGGTCACGTCCACAACCCATTAAGCATAGTTGGTTGGTGTGAGCGGATCACCTACTTGCAGTTGACTATTACTATCCGAAGGATGAAGATAGTAGACTGAAGACTGGTCGAATTCACCATCGACACTCTTCCCCAGATTTCCGCTGGGACCGAAAGACTCGTTCTTCTTCGTATCGTCCGTGTTCACCATGCTGGGACGACGATGACGATGTTATTGCCGATCGTGCTCTGATACCATGAAAAATATGATAACGAAAAGTAAAACGACACACGATGTTTACGTGGTATCCCCGATTTGGTGATCGGGACTAGTCCACGGGAGAGATTAGCCTCTCCGGCTTAGCTCTTATTACTTGATGAATTGTGTTACAGGTCTCGTGACCTTACAAGTATATTTATATCTCCTGTAATGGATGGGTAAACTACTCAACCTAGAGGAGTCTGCTAGGTTAAACTTCCTTCTCCTTCTCGACGTGGAAGACCCATTTGAGCAAGCCATGTTTGCCGCAGGAGTGGGCTGATGGTGTGAAGTGGGCTTCTCGTGTAAAGTGGGCTGAACGCCATCATCACAGCCCAATAGAGGAAAATCTTGGTTTCTACTGAAATGCAACCAGAAAGCTCGATCAAATTCGCTTCATCATGATTGAATTTTAATATTTAATCTTGTATCTGCTATCTTGTAGCACAGTGGCGGATACATGGTGCTTTAGGGGTGTCCCGGGACACCCCTAAATTTTGGGAACACGATTATTCAACCCCCGGTAGTAGTTTCGTATGGATAAACAAAATATAATTAGTAATCTGGGACACCCCTAAAATTTTAATAAATGATTATCTTACCCTCGATAGTAGTTTGCGTGATTAAAAAAAATATAAGTGGTACTCTGTGTTATTCAAATCTAGGACACTACTATTATTTAACATCTTCTCCATTAGGTTATAACTCATTTGTTGTTCTATTTTAAACACTATATAATGGTGAAAACGCGATTTCTTATCCCCAGGGGTACCCTAATTTGAATTGATTTTATGGTTACACTGCAAGTGTTGAAACAGTCTTTTCAACTTCGAATTACATCATGAACAAGGTTAGAAATTGAATATGCGATCTAGTAGGATATACCGTTTGTTGAGCAGTGTACACACCAAATCTATCTTATATTTTTTTCGAAATATGAAAACACATCGTGGGTTTTTGTCAATATTTATACTAATTGGATATTTTATTATTTATGTATTATTTAATTTAATTATTAATTTAATTCAATTTTTGAAAGAGGACACCCTACAAAAAATTTCTGGATCCGCCACTGTTGTAGCATGTCCTCGTTTTTGTTGAAATGAATGGAAGGTCTTTTAAGGAAAAATAACTCCACTTTTTGAGTGCGTATTTTAACGTGCAAGTTTTATAATTATATTATCTCACGAGCTAATCGTTTACCTGTTAGAAGCGTCCGAGTCCGAATCCAGTGGATGGGCCATTTGGGCAATTTGCCAACCTGCAGAGAGAGGTAGACGGAGGAGCAGGTCTGTCACGACAAAAGTCTCGGGTTCATTCTCTGAGCCGCTTGACGCTCTCATCTTCCTTGTCGGCGTCGCTCTGGTGCAGCGGCGGCGAAGATTCTTCCTTCTTCTGTTCTGTCTCCGGCGGGCCGGGCGTTTGAGAACAAAATTGATGTGCTCTGTGGTAAGTCCAATGGGCTTTGTACGGGCTCAGTAAACTAGACGCTGCTAGTTCAGGCCCAGACATTCGGGCCACATACAGGAATGTCTTATTTCAGGCCCAAAAAAGACCAAATCCGAAAGGGTTAAGGATAGGCTAAACTAAGACTAAAGCGTCGTCGTTACAGACGGCCGGGTCACCGTGTTCTATTTCTCTCACCGTCTCCAAGCCGCCGGGGGATTTCCCGGCCAATCTTTCCCCCCCTTCTCTTAAATCAAGCACTAGTTCGGATCTCTGGCCTCTGGGCATCACTTCATTCAAAAAACCCCTGATGGGTAGAGAAGATTTATCGACTAAGAAGCGCGTCTGAAGCTGAAAAGCTCAAGGTTTGGACCAGAAAGGAAGCAGCTTTCATTCATAAATATGAATTAGGAGCTGAAAAGGGAACAGGAGAAGGTTTACGGTGAAGAAGAAGGATGGCGTTCGCGTTTGGGAAGGATGCGGGTCCCCAAAGCCAAGGTACCAAACTGTTACCGTTCGGTGCTCCCGCATCATCTCAGGCACCGGCAATACCTCAACCTGGTCGTCCTCGATCTCCATGGTATATTATTCCCTTTTCTTGTAGTTCTTGAAGAATTTTTTTTTTTTTATGTAAATGAAACCGTTTAGGATTACAGTTGTCTTTGGGTTTAGGGTTCTCTAAAGGGACTATTGAATACTTGCTTATTGGGGTGTCAGCAGTTTCAGACTTCAATTTGGAATTGGCATTGTTTGAATGTTGGCCTAGTTTCAAGAATGGTTACTTTACTGGAAAAAGATTTTGAGTTTTAGCTTATGCTTCGGCCAGCTCACATGAGAAGTTACCTGGTTGGGTCAAAAGGTAGCTTGTCATCATTGGTTAGAGCAAGAAATTAGTGTTTTTTTTTGGGATCAAATTGAGGTTAGTGATAAATCCAATTGCGTTCCCATGGATCAAACTGTGCTCATGGCGATTGGTTACCATTTCAGGGGTCCTCCACCAATGGACAGCGTGCAGTTCCCGTTGTTGGGTTATGGAACTCCTGGTTTCGTGAGCAGTCATCATCCATCAGTTAGAATGCCAAAGTACAAACACATATCTGGGCATGATTGATTGTGATTCGAAACCAGGATGGTCTATCGAAGTCCCAACTTATGTTTTGATTTTGTTTCAATGATAGTATGTCTGAAGTGCAAAGGCCACAGTCTTCCTCATCGGGATTTGACATCTCTCAGTCTCATGCAAGTTATCTTTCCATAACAACGAGGCCTCGAATGTGAGTGATGTACTCTCTTGTATGCTCGACCGTTCCTTTTATCTAGAAAAGATGGCTCCCGCTTGTTTTCATTTAGGTTAACTGTAAGTACACATGTATGTACGCCGCCCATGAGATTTAGAATTCGTGATGGGGGGAAGCTTAGCTCAAGTAATGGTTCTGTAATTCTAGCTCTGATGAGCGTCTTACTAGTTACCCCGTTGGTGTGTTACATTTTCCCCTAGCACTGTTCAAACTCCTCCTGGACAGGGTAACGGAAACCGATATTTCTTGAATGGTGATGGTCAGAAAGGTCATGCGCCTTATGCTGTCAAATCTCTTGTTGCTACCCGTAATCCTGGAACTGCTGTGTCAGCAAAGGTCACTGGAATGCAAGACCAGAAAAGGAGTAGATCACCTTCTTATTTTACTGCTGAAGTTGGTTTACAAAATTCGCGTTTAGGTTTCCCACAAAGGTAAGCTTCTCTGCTTAGCCCTCGTCTTTCTGTTTAGGATGGAACATGTAATTCTGCATAATCTTCCTGTTTAGTTAGCTGTAAGTGCACATATTTACGTCAGCCATGAAGTTTAGACCTTGTACTGTAAGGCTAGATACAAGTTTGTGGTTGGGGGAAAGCTTACATAAATGCTGGTTCTTACCAATTACTCCATTGGTGTGTTACATTTTTTCCCTAGGCATGTCCAATCTCCTCCTACATTGGGTAACGGGAACAGATCTATCTTGAATGGTGATGGTCCGAAAGATCCTGCACCTTATGCTGTCAAATCTCTTGTTGCTACCCGTAATTCTGGAGGCATGGTGGCAGCCAAGGTTACTGGATTACAAGACCAGAAAAGGACTAGGTAATCTCCTGATTCTACTGATGAAGTCAGTTCACAGAATGTGAGATTAGGTTTCTCGCAAAGGTAAACTTCTATGTTTAATTTTTTTCTTTCTATGCAGGACAGAACATATAGTTCTGCCTTATCTTTCTTTACATTGTGCCAATTGCAATTATTTCTGGTTTAATTTGTTTTTGCTGTGCTGCTTATGTTCCTTCTGCATGGGATGATTATAGGGCCATGGTGCCAGGATTGTTTCCGAACTTATCAAATCATCAAAAAGTGTCCCCAGGTCAAGTCAATAAACTTGCAAATGGCCATCTCCAGAAGCAAAGTAGATCATCTCCTGCCAGCGGAAGTTTGCAAGGAAATGCACCTTTTGTCAGAAATGAAGCTAAAAGGTAAGGTAGCTCTCAAATGCATGAAAAAACTTTTGGCTCCCTGTTTCATTAAAGAGACATCCTTGTTTGTTGGAAGTCTCTCAGGCACGGATATGAACAGTCAAGAGTTGGAAGCCTTTGTGATGTGACTTTTATTTATTTCAGTAGCGAGTTTGCACAACAACTCTGGTCTTGATTGGTAAAGAGATGGATATTATTGGTTTGTATTAAATTTTTTCCACAGCCTATCAGAGAGCTGTGCATAGCATGTATTCTGTATTCTTGATTGGTTAAAATCCTCCAATAAAAGTCATCATTCATCAAACAAACAAACAAACAAACAAACAAACAAACAAACAAACAAATAAACAAACAAACAAAAACTTTTCCATCCGTCATATTTTATGACTTATGAGTGTGCTGAATACCATCTAAACACAGTAATATGGTAAAACGTTTTATATTCGAGAGGGCTTTAGATTGCAGTATTCACTAGTGACCCATTTCAACGGAGTATGAAAGATTTTAAGCTTCAAGATTATTATAATTGACTAGTATAGGGTGTATATCTCAGCCTTTCTACATCTCAACATGTGCTTTTTGGTTCTTCCTTTTGCAGACCTTTCTCTCCAATAGGATTGAATACTCTATCAGATCCTATTTACAGTACCCTAGACTCTCAAATTCCACAAAGAGTGTTGCCATCTTTGAAGAACACAACTGTGGAATCTAATCCCACCAGAAACACCAGTGCCTTGGTTTCAAAGAGAACAAGGTCACCAGAGATTTCTGGCAAGGTTCTCCCAGGAAGCTCCTCTTCGACCATTGATGATACTGAACGGTAAAGCTTCACGGCATCATTCAACAGGATAATCCTTGCTTGTTTTAAATTCAATGATTGTGAATTTCTACTTGATGTGCAGAGAGATGCAAGCTAAGGTGAAGCGTTTAGCCCGCTTCAAGGAAGAATTAAGTGAAGATATTGAAAAAGGCACAGATGTGGGGAACCAAAATGTTCCTGTTGGTGGATATGAGCAATCCAAACAAAGACAAACTGTACCCACGAATCATTTGGCTGAGGACCGCACCAATGACAATAATGTCTCAGATTTGGAGGGTTTGGGAATACCAAGACTTATTGTTGGTCTGTGTCCAGATATGTGCCCTGGTAAGCTTCTTGGCAACTAAGAGTTTGTTATTTACGGCTTAAGACCTAGAATTTTGATAGCATTGCTCTGATGTTTACATTATGGCATTAATTTAGTTGGGTATATAGTAAACCATGTAATTACCTCCGAACCTTCAAGTACGAACCTGATAGTTAATCGGTTCTTGAGAACATTGGATAAATATTTTTCTGACATTGATACTAAATTGCAGAATCTGAAAGAGGGGAGCGAGAAAGGAAAGGGGATCTTGATCAGTATGAACGTTTGGATGGGGATAGAAATCAAACAAACCGTTTGCTTGCAGTTAAAAAGGTATATTTGTTGCCGTTTTCATCTCCAATTTATTTTGTGGATAGATCCTTTCTTGATCTTTCATTGATTACTTTTATATTTTTGTTCCTTTTGTCGAATAGTACACTAGGACAGCGGAGAGGGAAGCATATCTTATACGTCCGATGTCTGTCCTTCAAAAGACCATTGATTACCTACTTAGCTTACTGGATCAGCCATATGATGGCAACTTCCTTGGGAGGTACAACTTTCTGTGGGACAGGATGAGAGCAATCCGGATGGACCTGAGAATGCAGCACATTTTCAATTTGGAAGCTATAAATATGTTGGAGCAAATGGTATTCTTATATTTTATCATAGTTCCTATAAGTTGAAGATACATTTGGTACTTGCCAGGTTCATATGACATGATAGCATCATAGCTTCTTGTTTACAGTGTTTATACCGGTTTAGCAGTTAATTAATTTTGATACTTCTGCTGTTTGAAAATCTTGCTATATGTTGATCATTGGCTTGAAAAGATGTTATATATCTCCCATGCTGATATTAAAAAAAAATTATCTTGACTTCCATTACACTTCGTTTTAGATTCCATAAGCAGAACAGCTGCATTTATTTACCATAGGCACAAATATATTGGCTCCCTTGTTTCAGTTGGCAATGTTGCCTGCAGCAATATATCTCTAATTAGGTTATTGTCTTCATAGTTTGGAACACAATAACCTTGCTTGGACCTGATGTCTCCATCTGTATGATGTCTGCTTGACCTTATCATGCCATGAAATTTTAGGAAGTTATATATTGGTTATAATATCATGTTAACAGAACAAACCAAGTCATTGCTAACTCTTCCCAAGATTAAGCATAATAAAGTATTTCGAATTCTCTCCTGGTTAACCCTTTTGCTTTTTGTATGTAAATTTCAGATAAGGCTTCATGTAATTGCCATGCATGAATTGTGTGAATATACAAAAGGAGAAGGATTTTCAGAGGGATTCGATGCACACCTTAATATTGAACAGATGAACAAAACATCTGTTGAACTATTTCAAATGTATGATGATCACAGGAAGAAAGGTATTATTGTGCCGTCAGAAAAAGAATTCCGTGGGTATTATGCTCTTCTCAAACTGGACAAGCATCCTGGATACAAAGTAAGTTACCTTCATTTACCTTCCTTACAGCTGCCCACCTTCTTCCCTCTCTCTTCTCCTTTTTTTTTTTTTTTTTTTGTTAAGTTAGTTAATCAATGTTCAACAGGTGGAACCTCCAGAGCTGTCACTAGATCTGGCAAAGATGACTCCCGAGATAAGGCAAACCCCTGAAGTGCTTTTTGCTCGCAATGTTGCAAGGTATGTAGTAACTTCTTCTTGATGAAATTATCATTAGCTTATACTCTTTCTTTCACTTCCTTACACTTTTTTCCTCTTCTTAAGAGCTTGCAGAACAGGCAACTTCATTGCTTTCTTTAGGCTTGCAAAGAAGGCAACTTATCTTCAAGCATGTTTAATGCATGCTCACTTTGCTAAGGTATGAGCTAGTATTTTCTTGCACACAAAGTTCTCAAGCAAATACAAAGACAGAGTATACTGTAACTATTGTATGGAATCAATAACTATTCATGCTTTATTTATTTCCAGCTACGAACCCATGCACTTGCTTCCTTATGCTCGGGTCTACAAACCAACCAAGGAATCCCTGTTTCTCAAGTTGCTAAGTGGCTTGCTATGGAGGTTTCCCCCTACCTTGGACACTGCTTATTTCTTGACGTCTTTACATCCGGGAAAAACCTTGTCTTACACTAGCGCCTTGTGGTGATTCCAATTTCAGGAAGAAGATGTCGAAAACTTGTTAGCATATTATGGGTTTTCGATAAAGGAATTCGAAGAGCCATATATGGTGAAGGATGGACCATTTCTCAATAGCGATAAGGACTTTCCAACGAAGCGTTCCAGACTTGTTCATCTAAAAAAGTCAACTACTATCGTCAAAGATATTTCCCCATCTTCTCAAGTCACACCATTGCCTGCTGAAGCAACAAGAAAAATCCGAGTTCCCAATGTTGATAAGAAGAATCCAAGTCACACCTTTGCCGTGAAAGCTGCACCTGCTTTGGTTGATATGAAGAGACCCATCAGTGCAATAAATGCTGAAATGCCTGATTCTCAGGCTGTTGTGCCATCACCAAAGTTTGGCTTGCAAAAACAGCATACCATTGGTAGATCTGAAGTTGATGAAATGGTTACAGATAACAATTATCATGCAGCAAGTGTCAATATTGCACCATGGAACGTACTTCCAGCTTTTAGTTCTCCGAATTCTCAGCCAGCCAAAGTTGGAGTACTGCAGCAAAGCATGACTGATTCTCCTTTTGCAATCACTAAATATGAGGACATGCAGCCACAACCTGTAGTTGGTGTGCCGTTGAAAGAGAGCTCCCCTAGTGGTGAAAAGGATATACCGAGGGAGCTTGTGATCAATCATAGTGTGGTGGGCAATTTATTTCAAGATGAAGAAACCCCTGATGTCGATCAAGAATATGAAGATGATGAGTTGATAGAGAATCATGAAGATGAAGAAGTAGCTCGAGCGAAGCTCAAGTTGTTCATAAGGTTGGTTGTTACTTCTCAATTTGTTTTGGTGCAAATTGTTGTTGATTGTCATATTGTATTATTCACTTTACTTCTGTTACTTCACTTTCAGGTTATGGAAGCGGCGTGTTTCAAGACATAAGGAATTACGCCGTCAAAGACAGATGGCTGCAAATGCTGCAATGAGCTCATTATCGCTCGGACCACCGATTCGAAGGATCCAAGAAGTAAGTCTTTCGCTTTAAAGAGTGTTAATACATAATCGGTTGATTCCCTGGGCTACAGAATCATAAAAAATACTGTCTTTTAATGTGCTTTTATTAAGCTATCACAATGTACAACTCCTAGGTCGTGGGTGTTTTAGTCTTGTGAATCGACTTGTGTTTTAAGTTTTAGTAGAAAGAAAAAGGGTGTTTGGTCATGTTTTAGAAAGTTAAGATAGACAGGAATATAATTGATGTGATAGTAGATATTCGGTTAATGATAAAGAAATGAATGGGTTTTGGGAAATGGCGTATTACTTTAAGGATAGATTCTTATTTTAAGTTTTGTTGAGAAGAAATTTTTTAGTGAGGTGATTTTTGTCTTTTCACTTTTTGCGAATTCAGGATGAATAGTATTTTTAAGAAGTTAGATAAACCAAGTGTTCGTTCCAGCCGTTAAATCAATTTTGTAAGTGACTTTTATTGTAGCCGAAACACACGCCTTGCACGGGAATGTTATCAGCTTACTGCCTCTTTTTCTGTAAGCAGCTATCTCTAGATGACTTCATGCTACTCTTATTTCTTGTTCTCGTGCAGCAACCAAGCAAGATTCTCGATTTCGACATTGACTATGTCACGATGGAAAGATGCAGAATTTACGAGCATTCTTGGTCTCCATTAAATCCATCAGAAGTCATTGCAGATGAAGCCAGCTCGAGAAATCGAGACGCCAAATGTCTCTATTGGAAGCTCGTAGTATGTTCTCAGTCACAAGAAGATGACCAACAAGGGCCCAGCAAGCATGCAGCAGCGGGCCCTTGGTTGTGTTCAAAGCTCATCCCCAATAGACCAAAAGATACAAATAACGAGGAAGAATTGTTAACCTCATCTCCAGGTCTTTCAATATGGAGAAAGTGGGTTTCTAACGACATGTGCTGCTTGTCTGTCATCAGAGATTCCAGTTTTTGTACTCCAGATGAGGCAGCAGCTGGTGCAACTGCTGTGGTTTTCGTCGTATCAGAAACCATCCCAATGAACTCTCAGAGAATCACACTCCATAACCTTCTCTCGGCCTTACATCCAAGTTCTTCACTGCCTCTACTGGTATTCTGTGGAAAATGGGATAGAACGGTTTCAGACCCTTTGGCCACCATAGCTCATGAACTTGGACTTAATACCATCGACAAGTCTAGAGTAAGAAGTTTCTCTGTTGTGTTTCTCATGGGAGAAGATGCCAATGGATTTTTCAGTGACAGCAGAGTTAGGGAAGGACTAAGATGGTTGGCTAGTGAATCACCCCAACAACCAGATCTTCAGTCCATAAAACTGCAGGAGTTGGCTCTCGCACGGTTGAAGCCATCTCTAGATGCACTCCAAAAGATGAGTGACCGTGAAGTTGGACCAAATAGGTGTATCTCAGCATTCAATGAAACTTTGGATTGGTGTGTGGAGGAAATTCTCGCTGCTGCTGAAGTTAACCCGACAGGTTGGCCTTGCCCTGAGTTGGTTTTGCTGGAGGAAAGCGAAACCATGTTGATCGAGTCGTATCTGCCAAGCATAGGGTGGAGTTCGGCATTGAAAATCGAACCGCTGATTTCTGCTGTACGGAGTTGTAAGCTTCCTGGATTTGCCGGTGATGTATCGTGGTTAGATGAAGGCACGGCAAACATGGGCGATGAGCTTGAGAAGCTTAGTACTGAAATCGAGAATTGCTTGATTAGATACCTGACTGAATCGAGCGGGATGATGGGGTTTTCATTGGCGGCCAAGGAAGCACATGTTGTGTTACAGAGAAGTGCTCGCCTGGAGTTTCGGGAGTGCTCAAGTTACCATATAGTTGTGAATTGGGTGAAGGTCCTTCGAAGGGTTTTCAATTGGCAGCTCAATAAGTTATCGTCCGATGCCTATGTATTAAGGTCTCGCATTGTGAATTTGGAATCACTGGTGCTTGATGAGCAAGGAGTAGGAATGGCAAAACTGGCCCGGCCCGACGGGTTTGGCCCGACCCAGCCCGTTTTGGGACAGGTCCTACCCGGCCCGTTCTAGAATGGGGCGGGTCCGACCCGACCCGCCCACAGGTCAGGTCAGGCCTGGGTATTACCCTCAACCCGCCCCGGACCTGGCCCGCCCCGCATCTTCCCTAATCCCTCCCTATGCCACACCCGCATGCTGCTGTGCTGATCTTTGGAACCCACAGTATTAATTCACATCTTGAAAATAGCTCCGCCATCGTCCCTTTCTCTCCCACCCAGACACCCACGCTATCATTCCCTGTGAATCAAATTAATGGTGCTTACCTTCCCAAAAAGCCATCTTCCTTCCCAATTTCCATCTCCTAGTCAAAACCCTAGGTTGCTGCATAATCTTCTCCATATGAAGAGTTTCAATTTTCACATAAATAGGTCACCGACGAAGCAATACTCCAATTCTTAGTTATCACCCAATTTTCAATCCGCTTTGCATCTCTTCCTCACGCCAAATCCTCATCTTGCAATTGGTGCACAGGTAATGAATCTTGCACTCGTTGCTTTTGTATTTGTTTGCATGTGAAGTCTAATTGCCCAAATCAATTCATTGTTTGTTTTTTTGTTTATTTCTGCACTTGATATTAGATCACGATGTGCTAAACCCTTATCAAACCTTTTCCGAATTTCCCAGTCAATTCCTTACATTTGTTTTTTATTTTTCCCTTTTGTCTTGCTTCTTCGCATGTTAGAGAAGGGTAAGTAATATATAGCTCTAGCAAACAGTAGATATATAACGGAAGAAGAATTTTGTTTGTTATTCTCATTTGTTATGTTTACTTATTATATTAAGTATTTGTTTCATGTGGATTTATGGTGAATGAAGATGCAGCTTGCAGCAAGCTGATGATTTGAAGTTTCTGCATTGTTTTTCTGCTTGCTTTGATGCTTCTGCATGTATCTATTTGATGCATTTCTGGTTATCGTTTTTGTATCAATCCCTGCATCTTTGATTGACTGTGTTTTATGTTGATTTCGTGTTTTATATATTTAGGTTGTAGCAAGCTACACAATGGAAACCGGTGGAGCTATAGGCAAAACATATCTGACCTTGGAAAGGTAGCTATTATGCAGTTTGTAGTGAATTTGCTTGTTGGTTATGAACCAATTTATGTATTCAAAATTTATTAAATTATGATATAATGATGTTACTGTAAAACTTGTGATGCAGCCTGCACAAATAGCAGTACTTGAGGTTCAGATTGGGTGTGAAAGGAAACCAATGACCATGCTGATAATGGTAATTGAGGTACGATAATAGAAAGTGATTGTGTTTATGCAAAGATTAGTTTTCCTTTCTTTGAACGATTATAGCACAACGTACTGTATTTTTCTCTTCTAGTTTGTTACTGTTTAGTTGTTGTGTGTTACCTGTTAGTACTTGTTTTTGTTTACATAATCTTCTGTTCGTATTTGTTTGCGTTTAGATACTTGGGCCATTTAATTGTGTTTATTATACTGTTATATACTTTGTTTGTGGTGGTAATGACTTATAAAAGCTCATTTGTTTATGGTTATGCAGCATGCAGCATCATGATTTAGTGGTGGCAATGGTGTTCAAGTTCTTTTGGAGTTTGGAAATTGGAAGGCAGAGGAATTGAAGTCTTAGATATTAAGTACTGATCTTTTGGAATTTTATGGTTATATTTCAGTCAGTTTAACGATTTGAATTGAACTTCAGAGGATTTTTGGAGAGCGGGTTTTTCTTTTTGGAACTCTGGATTGTAGAATTTATTTTGTGGAAGGTTTTGGCATTTGTGGGTCAATATATCACTTGACTTAATTCTAATATTAACTGGAAGCTTGGGGCAGGTCGGGGCAAACCCGCCCCGTACAGGGCAGGTCATGGGCCATATAATGAAGGCCCGTAGCAGGTCTTGGGGCGGGGCGGGTCAAAATTCAAAAGAGCAGGGCGGGCCTGGGTATTGCACTACCCGCCCTGTTCTGGACCCATTGCCATTCCTAGCAAGGAGGCATTTTGTCACCTTATGTAAGCCAGCCTTTGTTAGATCAGATCATCCATGTTGGTTGCTTTCCTCTGGTGCTACCGAGGGTTCAGACTAAGCTGGTCACTTCTATACAAGTATCGACAGATGTGCCAGCAGCTGTAAACACGATTCACCAGATTATAAGCAGCGAGCAACCTTCTTCACTGATTGGGAGTCATGGTGTTGCAGTAGATGAGGAAAGGCGAGCTGAGGTTAAAGTTCCATTTTCCAGCAAAGCCACCACGAAGGAGGCTGATAAATTAAGCAGATTGTTGGAGCATTGTAACATTGTGCAGAACTCCATAGAGGAGAAGCTTTCGATTTACTTTTGATGAATTGGGGGAGTTTCTCTTCCATGTATACGAGCCAATTCACTTTGGATTGCTGATGGATTGTACACACTGTACCTTGTATTCATTGTATCATGTGAGGTAAAGAAGAATTATCATAAAAGAAAACAGTTCAGTGTAGGGTTCCCATGCCTATGAGTTTTGATACAAGCTTGCTTTTTCTGGTGTTAGTTTTACTAGCAGGGTGACACCTTTTTGTTTAAGCGGAAAGATACTGATTACTGTTACTCTGCTGAAATGGAGAAGCTTCTATGAGGCGCTAAGCCAAGCTGCACACTTTTCAGGGAATTTTTTCAGAAATGCCCACTGTTTTCATAATCGAACCGGAGGCTGAACCAGAAAAGTTAATGATTTAGGGTTCAATGATTAATCTTTAGAAAATTGTTGATAGAACCGTTTATGATATATAACATATAAGACTTGTATATTACACTAGTTAAAGAATAAAGTTATCATTGACCATAAACAAGTTCTAATTCATATCATCACCAAAATATCTAATAAATCATTCCAACCATCTCACAAAAGAAACCACCTTTTTTTAATCCAAATTAAAAATTATGGTTCTAGAAATTTGATGATCTTATTTTGTTTTAAAGCATTTTTTTGTTAAATTAGTGAACAAGTGGACCAGTTAAACCGTGCTGGTTCATTTGATATTATATTGAACCGTGAAAAACCGTTTAGTCCATCAATAACCGTTCAAGCAATGAATCAGACTGCTATAATAACTGGTTTGATGGTTCTACTGGTCCAGTCGTTGATCCGGTTCGGTTCTTATAACAATGAAAATACCATTAAAAAGAGAGAAAAATCCAATAATACCATCCATTCCAAAAAAATTCAAAAATACCACCCTTTCTCGAAAACCGCTAGGTGGGTGCGCGATTTTCGACCAAAACCGCTTGGGTTGGGGGCGTCTTGTTTACCGCAGCGGGTAGGGTCGGTTTGGTTTAAAACCATTGCCCCCACCCAGGGGTTTGGTCCTATTTTTTTTTTTTTCCGATTATTCCTAACTTAGGTGGAAACTTCAAACGAACGTATCTTTGTGCTCGAGTACTCGATCGTAACGAAATTTTTTTGATTCCGCATAACTTTTCGAGATCTTGCAAGCCAAATGGTCCTGGTTTCATCACGAAAAAATGTCGTTTGCTACCCTGAACTGGCTTTGTTTCGATTTCGGCAAACTTTGGACAACCATAACTTTGTGCTACGCAATCCGAACATCATGATTTTTTGTATACGTTCGTTTGAAGTCTCCACCTAGGTTAGGAATAATAAAAATAAAAAAAATAGGACCAAATGGTGGGACGCACTCAATTTAAGCCCCATCATATTGTGGCAAGGCATAGGAAACAGGAAATCAATGAATCAATTATTGAAAGAGACAGAAGAGAAGCATTATTCTAGAGCCGTTCTGCAAATTTTCCAGCATCATTGATGGATGAAATGGTGGGCATTATACAGCAGGAGTTACAGGATACAACATTGAATCATAGGCGAATTACACTGAATTCTAACCAGGGTTGAGTTTTTTACAAGTCGAGCTCCGAAAATGTTATCATTTCACAGCAATCCAAAAGGTTTGTACCACAAAGAAGTCTCCCGGGCCCTTACGCCCGGACAAGCTGCTGCCGCTGTGCTGCTGGTCTAAGGTTATGGCTTTGCCCGTCTCGTCCTCCATATTATCCTAAAGCTGCTGTGTTGGTTAGCACTTGGTAGCAGTATGTCGTCAACATCAGTGAGGAGGAGACCCTGAAATCTAGGAATCCTCCAAGGGACAACTAGCATCATGCAGATAACAACGAGAGCCCTTTTGAGGTCTTTACTCTTAACATAGGACCACTAACCTCCATCCTGTTACAAGCCAAAACAGAGACCAATCAAACTCTCAACACTAAGAATTCTGGACGAGCGATGGGAATAAATAATAATGTCCCTTTCTCATAGATGGTGTAAAACTCTAATTTCATGTTAATGACAAAGTTTGCTAAAGAATGAAGCTTAACATAGCTAACCAACCAGTTCAAAGGGCCTCCGACGTGGATCTGGAACAACAACTTGGCTTCGGCTAGCTGGACCTTGCTTGTCTGACAAGTCAGTTCTTAACGTTTGGCGCGTTTCTGACTTTGTATGCATTGAAACATCGACAGATCCCTTGCCTGGCCTTGGACTCGCTACACTTTTATCGGCCACAGCTGTTCCATCTGTTCCACCAGTTTTACCTGGCTATAGAAACAAAATTCGAGCTTCAGTAGTCAGAATCTCATGATACACCACTAAGATTGTCATAGCAAGTAGTAAAGTGCTGGACAAGCTTGCATACGTTAATCAGGTCTTTAATCTGGACAATTAAGATCGTAATATCATCTGTACGGTTCTCATGGTCCAGCCAAAGTTTGTACGATTCTCCCGCAATCGCAGAGCAAGCATCGCGAGGATCACCATATCTTGCAGCCTATATCAAGAGATGGGCCATAAATATGTTTAAGTTCCACAGGTAGAAACTAAAGTTTTCAAAACGATATAAATCACAGACATCAAATGCATACTATCCTTCCATCTAGATTCATTCACGACTGATGTTCTACCAACTTTCAATGGAAAAACGTCGAGAGAATTACCATATCAACCACAACTTGGCTGGAGAGAAACTCAAACACACCATCACTAGCCACAACGAAGAACACATGATTCTGCGTGAGCTGAACCACAGACACCTCGGGCTCAGCGATAACCCCGATCAGCTCAGCAGTATGATCTCCAACACTCCTCGTAAATGCCGTCCCAGGATACATCCCATCCTGCACCCACAACCTCGGAGGATCGCCACCATCGCTCTCTTCATCCCCCCACGACTGTATATTAGGATCCTTGAGCCCTTCCACTTGGTCCACACTCAACACTCTCGCCCCACATTTCTTCACCCTCTCGCACTCGTCTTCCCTAAACGGCGTCTGATCACAAGACATATCCTCTGCCACAATCCTGTTCCCCCTTTTGACAGCCATCACTGCCCTCGAATCGCCCACATTCGCCACGTATATCGTGTCACCAACAACGAGTACTGTGATTGCCGTGGTGCCACTCATCATGTCGTCGATTTCGCTGTTGTGAAGCTCGGAGTTGGTCGCTGCGAAAGCCGAATTGTAAGCCGTGATTGGGTCGTCGGAGAGGGTTGGGTCGTTTGCGAGTATCTCGACTAACCTGTTCTTGACGAAATTGGAACATTTTGCGCCGAATTGGCCGTGGCCGTCGAACACGCCGAAGAAATGAATGTCGGGATTGCCTTGGAGCTGTGTCTTGATCACAAAGCTATCCTCGTTCTCCTTGTCTAGCTGGTCAGGGTAGTAGCCTCGCTGAGTTAAAACAGAGTACTGTAACCTGAAGTTCCGGGAAGGAACTGAAATGGTTTCTAGGGACATCTGGGTGAGCAAGTGCTTGCTTTTCCCGGCGCCGATTTGACGGTAGCCCTTGGAATCGTCGTCCGACGACGTCGGGTAACGGCTGCAGCACCTCCCGTGGACACAACCCATCTCAGATTCCTATTTTAGACGCAATCGCCGGTGAAGATAACGGAAATGGGCATCTGCAGAAGGCTGCAGATTCTACTCCCGAATTGGAACCAAAGTGAAATCGAAATCAAAATCAAAAGAAAACCCTAGAAGCAGAATGACCGGACAGAAAAAGGGGAGACGAAAAGATTTGAGATTTCACAAAGGGCTTTTCCTGGAATGAGCATTTTGGGGATTAGGGATGGCAAAGCAGGGGAGGGGAAAGAAACCCTAAACCGAGACGAGAGAGGAAGGGGAAGGAACGGAGAAAGGATGAGAACTTTCTGCACGCTTCTGCTCACGAGGGGAGGTAAGAAAGAAATGATTGATTGCCAATGTTCCTATTTTCGGGACGCTCGAGAGCAACAGAAGAATCGCGTAACAAAAGAAGAAGAAAGCAGAGAAAGGATGATTACGATGATGACGCAAATGGTGGGGGATTAAAGGGAGGATGAGATTTCAATAGAGGGGGAATTTTGTAACGGATAATTACACTATTATGAATGGCGGAGAAGGAGAGTGAAATGGGAGCAGCTGGAGAAGCAGCAGCTTTTACAAGAAGAAGGAGAAGAAGAGACAGCAATGGGGGGGAAGAAGCAGCAGCTTTTACAAGAAGGAGGAGATTATTATTCGATGCGCGCATGGGCGGCTTTGGTTTGTACAGAGGGAATAACCCATTTTCCCAGAAACCAAAGAGGGGCAAAAGAAAGTGGAAAGGGAAGGAAAAAGGAAAAAAGAAATGGAGGGAACACAATCGGCAGAGCAGAGACCAAGTATTGGAGAAGGGGAAAAGTTCGGTACTTGGATGGTTTTCTTGATTTTGTGGGATTTAGAATCAGAAGGAAACGTGAGATTTTGGGTTTCAGACAAGAGTCTGTCAAATGCCAAGAACACAACCAAAAGGGAAATCCGGCAAAAATCAGGGGAAGGAACAACGAAAGATCCTTGCTTTGAGGTTTTGGTTTTCCCTTTGGCCTCCTCCTAGCAATAATGCAAATGTTGCTAGTTCAATCAAAATATCTCCAGGCATACAACTTACAATTATCTTGATGAATATGAGTGCAATGGAGGTGTAATATTAAACGCATCGAAATGGTACAATCTCAAATATTTCGTATTCTGTTGTACTAATGTAATATATCAAACAATATGTGTTTGCAAATACATATTGGGGTTGTTTGGATGTGGAAATGTAATGCAGTAATTGAACCCAATTACCACATAATGCAGTAACTGAGTTAAAACCCCACGTTTGGGAGAGCAAAAATGGTATGAGAATTGGACCATGGAAATTGGCTTCAATTACCACATTCATGGTAATTGAGAATACTACACCTCCCTCTAGTAATTTGACATTACCACGTTTTCTTACTTCTTTTTCCAAATTCCACACCATCAATTCCCACAAAACTTTCCCTATCAAACGTGAATTTTTTTTCAATTTCCACAAGTCAATTCCTTGGTTTTGTAAAACATGGAAATTCAGACAAATTCCAACCATTATAATGATGCTACCATATAAAACAAATAGGAATGCAATTAAGATAAAATAATATCAATTTACAAATTAATATGTGTTTGCAAACATGTATAATGATTGATTAACTAAATTAATCATTATTATGGTTTCTCCCGTCACATTTTTGTTTTCGTTTCATTCATATATAAAATCTATGGGTTTTTTTTGTAGTATAAAATCTATGGTTTTCATTCAACGGAAAATAATTTTATGGTTTTAGTATCTCATATAATTGCAAAAAGACATGCCAAAATTAATTGTGCAGTGCTTTAGGTATTTTATCCAATTATAGGCTGTTTTGAGTTTTGACAACACATAATGCAGAATTCATGTATTTTTGTAGACATGGTTATGAGTATACATGTAATATTAGAGATTAGCATACATTTCGAGGTGAAACTAGCATAAATTGACATAAAATCTTAAATGCTTTGGGTTTTGCCGGAATATTATGCGAATAAGTGTTTAGTCTAGTGATGCTATCACTGTTCTTATATTCAATCTCTTAAGGAAGACCTAACAACAAAACAAACCTATATCATTTGTATAAAAAAAATTCTCCATAGCATCATATGGATATGTTCCTAAACAAAATATATATTGTGAAAATCAATAGGTATATTAATTATATCTTGAAATTCATGCATTCTGCGACATTTGTTATAAGTTATAACCCAAATAAGTAATTCATTGGATTACTCAAAAGACTCGTAATCCAACAAGAATATGGTAGTATAGAATCCTATGACTTGGAAAAATGCACAATCACACGCGCGGAGCAGTGGGAAGCGGTTCGAGGGCTTCAACTCGCTTGGGCCACATGATACAAAAAGGTAGAGATACAACTCGACTTGACAACGACCACACATCTTTTCTCTCTCACCGCCCCAATCAACCACCAGCATAATCGAGCATTGTGCTTGCTTGTCAAGAGCTTCAAGTCGGAGATTGGGAAACACGAGTTGAGCAGGGCCGGCCCATTATATTCGGGGGCCCTGTTCGAAAATAAAAAATGTGGCCCCAATTTTTTTTCCACAAATTTATTATAAATAAAATTTTTTAAAATAATTATAAAAAATACATAAGTTCAGAAAATTATTACAATAGGGATAATATTATCGATCATTGTTTGAAAAGTAACAACCGTCTAGTATTATTTGAAATAAAATCCTCTATTAGTTCTTCCATCTTTGCATCCTCCAAAAAGTTATTCTCAATTGCCAACATAGCTAACCCGTTAAGCCTCTCTTATGTCATTGTAGAGCGCAAATAAGACTTCAACAACTTCAACTTCGAAAAGCTTCTTTCTGCTGTAGCAACAGTCACGGGAATAGTTAATAAGATTCTATATACAATGCTTGCATTAGGAAAACAATCGACACGTTTCAAAAAGTTTAAAATTTCAAAAGGAAGAATACATTCCTTAGGTAAAAAGTCTGGTAATAACTTAAGCTCAGAATATAAATCATTGCCATCAATATCAGATTGGTCATTATTCTTAAGAATGGTTTGAATATGCATGCAAGAAGACTTCAATTCTGAATCATCCAAGGAAAATAATTTCTTAGAACTAAATAAGAAACCAAAATTAGATTGAAAACTACTATATTGCTCAAATATTTTAGTAAGTGAAGAAATTGCTTGATCCACTACGCATAGGAAATAATTAACTCTAAATGATTCCTCCCTAGATAAAGATGCATTACTTGAAGAATTTTCAGGAACCTCGTCAAAATGCCTCTTTCTTTTGATCTCGCGCTTTTGAGGAAAATTTGGAACAACATCCATTGTCGTGCAAACTTCCTTCGCTAGCTCTAAGGCTTTTTGAAAACCATCTTCTCTATATCTTTTGAAAAATGAAATCAATCCATCTATTTTTAAAATAGCATCATCAATAAGTATATCTTTGGATTGTAATTGTTTACTAACTAAATTTGTTGAAAACAATATTTCATACCAAATAACTAATGAAAGAATAAATTCAAAATCACCAAGTTCATTTCGTGCTAAAGATTCAGCTTCACTGCTAATTTTTGAATCGCGATCAACATCGGCTACTTGAAGTAAGGCTTCTCTCACTTCTGGCATTTGAAACCTAATTGCTTTTACACTTTCAGCACGACTCTCCCAACGAGTAGATGATAATGGTTTCAAAGTCAAATTAACATTATGCTTTAAAATAAGCCATCTTTTATTGGAATTTGAAAATATCGTATAAATACGTTGAATAATTCCAAAAAAGTCTCTAGCTTTACGACAAGAATTGGCCATATCACATAATGTCAAATTAAGGCTATGAGAAGCACATGATGTATGAAAAGCTCTAGGATTTACATCTAATAACCTTCTTTGAACACCACTATGTTCTCCTTTCATATTTGATCCATTGTCATAGGATTGACCTCTAATGTTATCAATGTCAAGATCAAGAGAATTCAACTCATTTTTAAGAACATCAAATAATCCTAAACCTGTAGTATCATCCACTTCCAAAAACCCCAAAAAAGACTCCTCAATTGAAATAGAATTTGAAGAGAAATCCACATACCTTAGTATCATTGACATTTGTTCTTGATGACTTATATCGGGAGTACAATCAAGAATAACAGAAAAATACTTTGCTTGTTTTATCTTTCCAATAATTTTAGATTTAATTTCATTAGCAAGCAAAAGTATAATTTCATTTTGAATTATATGACCAAGATAATGATGATGAATCTCATCATTTGTAATGCGACGAACATGCTCTTGAATAACAGGATCAAACTCATCCAACATCTCAACCAAACCTAAAAAATTACCATTGCTATTTTGGTATAATTTTTCATTACTACCACGAAATGCAATATTACGTTTAGCAAGAAACTTAACCATTGAAATAATTCTCAATAAGACATTTCTCCAATGACACTTTTCTTTCTCAAATTCTTTTTGGGCTACTTTGTCTATTGTTTGGTTCTTTTGAAGTCCCAAACGCAAATCATACCAAGTAGCCATATTTTTAATATGTTCTAGACTAGTTTCATGCTCTTTCGTCCTACCTATAATATGTGACCAATCATTAAACCCTTCATTTGCCAATTGACCCCTTACACCTTTTTTTAAAAAAAGTTTGCAACAAAAACAAAATATTCTATCAAGCTCTTTCGAATAAACAAGCCAATCCCTATCACGCTTTTCACCATTCGGCATAACTTTAGTAAACCAACTTGCACAAAATCTTTTTGAAAACTTATCTTTAGGACCCTTTTCAATAGATAAATCTCTTTTGGGACCCTTCTCAACCAAAATATCAATCATTTTAGAATGAAGAGAATCCCATGTTCTAGGATCAAAAATATCAAATTTTTCAAAATCTTCATCAAAACTAGTTTGATCTACCACATCAAAATTAGGAGTACAATCAACACTTGCATAAGAATTTTCAACAACAATAGGAGGAGCATTAGCATTAGCATTCAAAACATCATTAGCATCAACAACATGATCAATATGAGCATTATCACTTAAAACATCATTAACATCAACAACAATAGGAGCAATATTAGCTTCACAATCGTTTTCTTTCACCAAAAATTTATGAAGAGCTCCTTTTTGAGATTGAGTTAACAAATCAATCCTCTGTTTTTTTTTTACGCTTAGAACAACTTGATTCAAAATTTCTAGATGACATAATCCCAATAGGCAATCAAGACAAATCCCTGCAAAAAAAAAAAAAAATGGTTAGAATGCTTAATGCTATACTCGGCCCACAACAAGAAAGAATAAAAATAGGTAATGGTCCATTTTCCCATTCCCTTTGGCCCATTTGTTCTTTCTCATTCCATTCGCCCATAGCAAAGCAGAAGGAGAAGCAGAGGAATATGATGGCAAAAAAAAAAAAAAAGCAGAGGAATATGAGAACAGAGTCTCCTCTCCTATCTCCAATAGTCCAATTCCAATTTTCAAACTCAATTAACCATTCTCATCGACCATTCTCCGAGACAGCTAGGGACAGGAAATTCTTACCGATTTCCAAACCACGGAGAGACAGAACCACGTCGGAATTGGGATTCTCGGAACCAGGGGAAGAAGGCGAGCGGGAGCGCCGGAGTGGAACCACCGAACCAGCCAAAATAATTAATTGGTTTTGGCTAATCGGTTGCTTCTATGCTTCAGGATTTAGCAAGGAGGTGATTGATTTATCAATCGAGGAATGAAAATAGAAGGCTGGATGTGGATGCTTCACCTTCTTGGCTGAGTATTTAAGGGTGATTGAGTTGGAGAACAGAGAGTAGAGACGTTGAGAAGAGAAACGTTGGTGGATTAGAGACGTTGGTGGATTTTTGGGAAGATGAGAATTTTGGAGAGCCATTAATGATTGATGATTTTGGGAAGGGAGTTTACGAGAATTGAGGAAGAGGAGCGAATAAGAAGGATGGCTGCCCGCCGCTGCAGTGTGCACGCTGACGGCTGAACTCTTCCGTCTCTTCGGCTGCCGACTGTAGGTTTTTTTTTATATATATATGTATATTGTATGGGCCAACTTTGTGAGGCCCTGTGCTGTGGGTCAGACCAGCACAGGGCCTGGGCCGGGCCTGGAGTTGAGCAATTTTACTGGGAGGCCAACTTCCTTGCGGATGGTCTTGCACACAAAGGCCACTATTTAGATCATGGAACTTTTACTTTGTGTCCTTTAGACTGTCATGATTATACATTGACTTTTGTATGACTCTATCGACAGTTTCGTCGTTCATTTAGTCATCCATTTATTAGAGGTAGTACACTGCACAGATTTCATAAAAAAAAAAAAGAATGCAATGATTAGATGTTAGAGCCCCAACGACTTTCTTACCAAGTACAAATATCTTATTTCCCCTTTTCTTTGAATGTATCCCTCATTAATCATTATTGATTTATTGTACACTTTCTAAAGAAATCTCATCAATTGTGAATGTACATGGTCGCTGGGCCGTGCTTGGGCCGGCACGGCACAGGCACGCTTTGGGCCCATTAATTTTGTGTCATGCTTGGCACGGCCCGTCAGTTTTCGTGTCGTGTCATGCAAGCTCATTTGTTAACTTTGCTAGGCCCAGCCCAGGCCCGAGCACGGTTTGAATAGTGTCGTGCCTATTCGTGCTCGTGCCATGCTCGTATTCGTATTTAATGAAAATGAAGAAAACAAAAGAGAGAATGAAAAAGAATGTGAAAATTGGACGGAGAAAGATAATATTAACCGATAATACCACTACAACACCCGAACTATCCGAAAAATGCCACTTGTGTCCTATTTTATTCAATATTCCATTCATATCCCGACGTATGATATTTTGTGACATTTGTATACTGACATTTTCGTTGACCGTTAAAGATAACAGTTGACCAGACGGTGGTCAAAGTGATGGTTGACTTTTGATGATGTGGCAAAAATCAAACAACCACATAGACTCCACCTCATTGCCACATGTATTATTTTTAATAAAATTAAGTTAAAATAAAAAATAATATAATAAAAAATATAAAAATCAAAAATGAAAACAAAATTTAAATTTTGCTTCAACTTATCTTCATCCATCGTGGATATCATCTACCACCCCCACCACCATGACTTCACCGTCTCCGTGGATACATCATCGCCGTCAAGAACGAGGCACGCCCAGCTTCGACTGCCGGCCAACTCCGGCAAAGGCTCTAAAGCCTCCGACAACTACCAAATCACGGTCGCCGCCGCCGCCGCCGCCCTCTTCCTTCTTTCTTCTTCTTTCCAGTGGACGAGGGAAAGGTGGCAAAGACAGACGACGCGAGAGATTGCACAATTGATGGCGGGATAATACTGCAAGATCCATATTGGCAAAGCAAGGCCCATCGATGATTCAAATTCAAGGAGATCCACATTCCGAAAACCAGGAGATTCGAATTCTAGGGTCTCTTAATGGACAATATTTAGACCTCTACGCATTCCTTCATTTGCCTGTGTAGGGAGAAATTAATTGGGAATTAATAAATTGGGTGTTGTACCTCTGCGCATCCGACTTTAGAGTAGCTACTCCGGAGAAGTCCAACAGATCGAATTGGAAAAAGGTGTTGAGTTGCCCGCTTTAGATTCCGGGCTGCTGGTCGTCGGAGGGGAAGCTGTAGGGTCGGGTTGCATTCGCCAACAGCCTACCTCTCGGCCTCCAGAAACAAGACACCGCCGAACTCACTCTCCGCCGCTCTCTCCAATTTCCCCTCTCTCCCGCTCGCTTTCTCTCTCTCTCTCGTCGGAATTCGAAATGGTCGACGGGAGAAAAGGAAGGCTAAGATTGGGGTTTGGGGTTCAGTGAAGTAGCAGCAAGTGCCGGGAAGGGTGAACGGGAAGAGGAGGCAAGAAGTTTATGGTACGGTAATGGTGCTGCTGTCGTTGTTGAGCGGAGTAGCAGCAGTGTCGGGAAGGGTGAACGGGGGAGAAAGAGCCGACGTGATGAATGGAGGAGATGGAACGTTTTTTTTAATATTTTCATTGTTCTTTATTTGAATCATTTTATTAAATAAAAAATAAATTAAAATTCCACGTCATGTGCCACGTCAACGCTGACTAGACTTTCTGTTAAAAATTAACGGTCAAAATGAGTCAACTTTAACAAAAAAATAGTTTAGGACATGAATGGAATATTTGATACAATAGGACACAAGTGACATTTTTGCGATAGTTCGGGTGTTGTAGTGGTATTAGCCTTTGATTTATTGTACACTTTCTAAAGAAACCTCATCAATTGTGAATGTACATGGTCGCTGGGCCGTGCTTGGGCCGGCACGGCACAGGCAAGCTTTGGGCCCATTAATTTTGTGTCGTGCTTGGCACGGCACGTCAGTTTTCGTGTCGTGTCATGCAAGCTCGTTTGTTAACTTTGCTAGGCCCAGCCCAGGCCCGAGCACGGTTTGAATCGTGTCGTGCCTATTCGTGCTCGTGCCATGCTCGTATTCGTATTTAATGAAAATGAAAAAAACAAAAGAGAGAATGAAAAAGAATGTGAAAATTGGACGGAGAAAGATAGTATTAACCGATAATGTTTGAGCAAAGTAACAAATAAGGGAGAAAGGAAAATTGGAATTATAGCGAGTGTGATTTGACTTTATTTAAATCTTCGTCCATTTTTACTTATGGTAGTAATTACGTATATATATCTTTATGACACTTCTAAGTTCTAACAGCAACAAATAATTCTTTTTCTACTTGTATTTTGTAATATTTGAACCTATAATTCCTTTTATATTTATTTTCTATCAAATAAATATTCTTTTCGTGTCATGTCCGTTCTTATACTCAATAAATTCTCGAAAATATTAGGCCCGACACGGCCCACTTATATACCGTGCCGTGCCCATGAAGTTTAGACCCGGCATGGCCCATAAATTATTCGTGCTCGTGCCGGACTGGCCCATTTATTTCGTGCTCGTGTCGTGCTCTAACCGTGCCGTACCGTGCTAGCCCGTGGGCGGCACGGTCCAGTATCCAGGTACAATTGTGAACCTACCTACCATTCTAAAGAATGTGAATCTTTCACCAACAAATGACTAGGAAAAGTCTTTGTAAAAAAAAGACTAGGAAAAGTCTTTGTAAAAAAAAAAAGACCAGGAAAAGAGAAGGGAAGATCGTCCAAGCCAAAAATTGGAGCAATATAATAGTATAGTGCAGCCTTCAACAATCATATGTCGTTCTCCGGACAAAAGCAATTCTGGGATTATTATAGATTAGACGACGA